GATGTTTGCAGCGCCGTAAAGCCGATAAATAGCTCAAATTCCCCAGCAAGACGTCAGAAAGACGCTAAAAACACCGTTGACAGCTCTAACGTCTCTGGATTCGCAAATAGGAACTGTCTTACATAGGGCATGCCCTTTAAGCTCGCAGTACAACGGTACTCCTTAAGGAGGGGACTGCTAGTATTTTACAATGGCGCTCAGTGTGCTCTTTAGAGCTGTGTCAATATACCTACAATTCGCAACTATCCTCGATACCACCAAAGACAACCGTCGCCCACTCAACTAATCCTACGCTTCATCCTCGAAGTTCTCAATTTGACGCTCCATACTGAAATTAGGATAGACAACGACCCAAACCTTCTATTAATCTATCAATCCAAATAGAACGAGTGCTTGGACTGAAAAACCCTTTTCTAGAAGGAATACAGAATCAAAAAGACCAACTGTGCAGGAGCGCCACAACTCCTCACTTAAAATTCCGCCTGTATAAGGATTTAAGGCCGAAGCGCTCCTATAGGAGTAATATAGCACCTATCGCCCACTCTCCAGGTCATTGTCTGGTCGCGAAGTCCTAGGCACGGAGAACAGATTTCCTATTCTAGATTTGTTGAGTAGGAGCGCTTTATATAGCTAACATATACCCCACCTCTATGGTAGTTGAGGACTAAAGTACTCCTACCATCTGTACCCCGTCTTCAAGAGTCGAGGAAGGGGTACAGACACAAGATCTGTGTTAGTCTGGTGGCATCGCTTCAGATTGCTAACGGAGATCCCACGGTTGTGCTGATCAGCGGTCGAAGTGCTCCTGATAGAATTATCTATACCCGCTCTCTAGGAGGCAATAGCAAGTAGTCGGCATCAAAATTCAAGATTAAAAACACACTAGCATGGTCGCGACAATGACCAGTACCTTCTTCTTCCCATCCTCCCCAAAAATCTACCCCTCATCACATCACATCTTCAACAGACCAAGACAGAAAGTACGTACAAACAACATGTCTTACTACCAATGCTACGAATATACGACCCCTCTACAGCCCCCGCATAAGCTCATCAATCGTAACCGGCTTCCTAACCGCATTCGAAAATCCCTCATGGAAAGAAACCCAGATCCTACCCTCATCCCCACTCCTGACCTCCTTCACCGGCGCCTCGCCGGGCAAGAGAGGTTTTGCAATGACCACTCTGCCGAAGAAATCCCTCTTAACTTTCTCCCCAGCTGCGATAGGAGGAAGAGGAGCAGTATCTGTGCCAGGATGCGCTTCAACGAGCTCATGTCCACCACCGCGTTTCTTCCTCATCTCCGCCTCGATTTTCAGGGCCTCTTTCTTCCACTCCGTCTCCAAAACGCTGCGGACCGCGTACCGAACTTTATCATCTTTCCTGCCTTCCAGCGTCTCGAAAGCGCCCAACTGGTCGAGCGCGGGTTCCATACGCAGCACCCATCCTCCATTCCTATTCATCGGGTCCTCGAACTCGACGCGGCTCCTCTCGAAGCGAACACCCGTTGCAGCCATAGCCTGAACAGCGCGATTGACGAGTGCTTTTTCGGAGGCTTTGCGGACGGAGGCTGTGGCGGCGGAGCGGGAGCCTGTGGAGCCGGTGTTGACGAGGACAGGTTTTACGTCTGGGGAGAGCATGCGCAGGACGTAGGGGAGGAGTTCGGTGGCGAGTTCTTCGGGGGAGCGGAACATGCGTGTTAGTGGTAGGCTGAGGGTTGATTGGAGGCTCATGAGATGGTCGCGATTTGCTTTGCGCTGCTCGGAGGCTTGCCAGGCTGCTGTTGGGCCGGAGAAGGGTGAGGGCGCGGCATCGGGGTCTGCTGTTGGGTTTGAGGCTTGGTGCCGGGGTGAGGCGAAGAGGTCGTGGAAGGCGAGGACCGATTGCGAGAGGTAGGGGTAGAGTTCCCATTCTTGTGAGCCATGGACGGCGGAGGAGAGAGTGTCGTGGAAGTGGAGCCATTCGTATGCTGTGCAGGGCTTGCTTAGGAGGGTGTCGTCTTGGAAGGGTTTCTCGGGGAAGGCGGTGAAGCAGTCTGGTCTGTCAGTATGGTTGCTTTATATGAAGAGATTTGATATGCTTACCCGTTACGATGCGATCACAGTCACCACTCGTGTCCACCATTTCACGCAGTCTCTCCATTGCTCGTCGCTTCGCCGACTCGGCGACTCCAACAACACCCTTCTTGCCAGTCTTTGCTGGCCCAGTCTCAGCTTGCTTGGGGAAGCCAGCACCTTCACGGAAGACACGGTCGACCACATCTTTCGCACCGCCACGCCCCAAGCTGCGTGCTGCTCCACCACCATGATGCAGGTCGTTGAGCACATTGTCCTCGAGCCACTTTCTCGAGAGTCGCATTGGTTCAGCGTTCGGCTTATGCGAAGCGCGTAGTCGACCTGCCACCCACTCGCCCACCACCATTACCCCACGAATATCGCCTTCACCAGTTCCTGTGCCTGTGCCTCCTTCCTTCTTCGTGCTGACTCCCCAGGTGACTTCGCACAGGCGACGAACGCCGTCCGAGTCAGCTGGAACGTTCTCTTTCTCGAATATCTTCTCCATGCGCGTAATGACCATGTTGAGTGCAGGTTTCCGTATGTGAACAATCTCGGCGATGGATGACTGGCGAAGTGGTCGCAAAGACGGGTGATAGACATCGTTGCAGATGAGAATGAGCGGGCGTAACAGTCGAAAATTGTCTCCCTTCCTCTTCTTCTTGGGCGCATTTGTAGTTGATACCTGGCCAAGCATCTTCGAGTTCTTCTCGTCCAGGTTGATCAAGTCGATGAGCGCTTTGATGAATCCGCCTTCGCCTCCTCCACTACTTCCCCCAACTACTCCATCGACTTCGTCTACGACTACGCACACTGGCTTGCCGGCTTTGCGAACTTTGCCGCTCGCAGTGTTGGTGTTGATGCCTCGGACGTTCTCTGTGCCGACCATATCCCGTATGCGGCCTTTCACAACAGTATGACTTCGCTCGTCCGAGGCGTTGATCTCCTGCACTTCGTAGCCAGCTTGACGAGCGCAGACGTGGGCTAGGGTTGTCTTGCCCAACCCGGGAGGGCCAGTCAGGAGCAAAACTTTGCGATGTCGCTGCTCTTCGTGCTCATTGTCGCGGTTCTTTGCGCCCTTTGGCTTCGTTCTCGCGATGCCAGGGAAGACGATCGGGTCCCAGCCCTTCAGCCAGCGGAGCACCGATCGATGTGTTCGCTCGTCGCCGACAAGGTCTGTGAACTTCTTTGCGCGATACTTCTCCGTCCACATCAGCGTTCTCTGAGTCTTGCCTGGTCTACTCTGCGGTCGCACTTCCTCTATCGACTGCTGTGGGACGGCGTCCTGGTGTTGTGACTGTGCCCGTGCCTTCTCTACGTCGAGCTCTTTAGCTTCATCCAAAAGCTGGTGAATATCGATGCCGTAGAAGCTCTTCTTCGCGCGGCCCTCGACTGCGACTGAGCGTTGCGCGATCAGTTGCTCGTAGGATACAGCTGCCTTTGACACCTTCTTGCCAATGACGAAAGACGTCCCAGAAGCCGTCCTAGCTTGTAGCACATTTCTCGGCTGGGAGGAAGGCGGCTCATCCGCGATCCCAGTAACTCGCGCGGGCGAAGGCGACCTCAGGAGATCGTTCAGCTCGTCCATGCCAACATCCTCTGGATCTGCAATCTCTTCCTGGCTCGCTGGAGGTGTGTAGTGTCCGACATCGGGAGGCAGTGAGGGCAAGTCCTTCAGCTTGTTGAGCGCCCGTCTCTTGAGAGCGTGATCGTTGAGTGCTGCCGCTCCCTCCTCATCATCCGAGTCGTCTAGGAAGCCACCCACTCGCTTGGGTGCCTGGTTTGCTTGCACATCTTTCAGAGGACTTCGCTCGGCTTCCGATCGCTTTCGCTTCAGCAGAAACTGGGGCGCAGAGCTGGGGGGATACGTGATCGGCGAGGACGAGAAGGGCATCGTGATGCTCGGAGGCGAAGATGGGTAGCCGTCAGTCGACGATCCGCTGGGGAAGGGCTTGATAGCAGAGTTCTTGAGGTGCTTTAGAGGCGTGTCTTAGTAAGGTTAGCTGCCGCTGCCCTCATCGTTCGCGATTGATGGTAATTATACCAATTGGGTGGTCCTCTTCGCTCCTGAAAGCGTCCGCGGTATTCCAAGCTCTGTGCTGTATTACCACGCCTGCCCTGCTCTTTTCTGCCTGGTCTTTCGCGACACAGTGTTGCAATGCTTCGAGCTCGTCGGAGTGGGAGAACGACGCCGGTGTGGGCGCGTCGTGTAGGAATTCGAGTTCGGAGTGGAGGTATATGGCAGGGTCGAATGACGTAGGTATGTCTGGAGAGTAGTCGGTCATCGATTCAAATCATTGCCGTAGAACATTGCGGTCATTGGAAAGGTGGATGTTGCAGTGTGAGGCTCGGAACGCGTCGCGTGGAAAGACGCGCGAAGACACGCTAGCCAACTTGGGTCATGGCGTCTTTTCCGTCCCAACTCCACCTCCGAGAGCCGCGATTTGAAGAGCATCTCTCATCAGTCGTTCAACTGCGCATGCCTTGTTTTGTCGCAGCTCTCTGAGTCTCTGAGATGATGCAATGTGTCAAAACCTTGAACATAATCTAAAAAGCGAATCATCCGGGCTGCGCAAACCTGTTGCTTCCCAAACGAAAAAAAGCCTTTTCGAAGTTTTATAACGTCTGCCCGCCTCAACCCGCACCTTTTCCTCAATGTCATCTATGTCTCATCAATTCAGAATGTGACCCTTCTTGATGTTGTCGTTCCCTTCTGTCGAATCCAAGAGCTTGCCTGTGCGATCAAGCCGAAGGCACCAAGGCAGCGAAGTGTTCGAGTCTTGGCCGAGGGGCAAATCCCGGTTTCGTTGCAAAATTCGCACTGCCCCGCAAGTCTTCGCTTAGAGCATTTACCGCGGTCAACCCTTCACTTTGGATGGTAGCTTCTAAAATCTGTCTCATGGATATATTGGCTGGCCGCGAAAATTCTTTCAAATCAAAATGCAAAGCTGAATGGCGCAGCGGAAGCGCGCCGGGCTCATAACCCGGAGGACAGAGGATCGAAACCTCTTTCAGCTAAGTATCTTTTTGCAAAAGTTGAGGGTTCGACTCGTTGTCAAGGAACCTTCTTTTTTTGCTTTTGTTCATTCATCTAGGCGGCGGAAATCTGTTAAATCAATTCAGTCATGGTCGATTGTATGATCAAATAAATAAACTGGTCATCAAATCTACGTCCTTTATTATCTGGTATATTTCATTCTATACATCGAGAATCCTTATAGTTTACGTCGTCGGTTAGTAACGAAGTAGTCGCAATACATTTTCTTCCTCAACTTTGCAAAAAGATACTTAGCTAAAAGAGGTTTCGACTCTGTCCCCGAGTTATGAGCCCAGCGCGTTTCACGGGAGAGCCTAACCGACTTATAATCTTACCAGCTGTAGATCCCGGTGTATTGTGGCTCGTCACGTCCTTGCTAGCCAGTCTCACCAGTGTATTGATTCATCAGAGCATGGCACTGAGCAACATCTTCTTCGTACAAGTACTATGTACGACACTGAAGTGCTTCAAATGTGCAACAAATATGCAATACGAGTACATATTACCATACCTCTAAGAACGTTGGGAGCAGCGTTTTGGAGTCTCTAAACCTGAGTAAGTGAAGGCAGCTCTGCTACGCTAGCAGGTGGGCTCTCGAGTCGCGCCTTCCTTTTATCTATGACGAAACTCTCCATCTGACCTCAACCTCTCAACCCTTAGGACCTTTACCTCGCCCACCGACACATCACTCTTTTACGACACATAGTACCTTCTAGCCGAATACACTGCAATCTTAGCCGCCATGTCTTGCTCTTTCGGCTTACAGAACCCTCGACTCTTGTCGCTTTCGGCTGCGGCAGACACATTGACTATCGCCCTGCTCCTATGCGGGAGGTGTCTAGGTGGAGGTGGCGTTCAAGTGAAGATAGAGAGGCGTTTATCGAGAATGCGCGAATCTGCTCCTTCTCGCTGCTTACTACAAGTTCTCGAGCTTCCTCCTTCGACAACACGCCAGCCGATTCGCACCCACCTATCTACGCACCTATCTACTTCTACCGACAACGTCCCAGTCTAAGCCGATCAACAAGCAGTGAGCACTCTACAATTTGGCTTGGTCTCGTGGGCTGGGCGAGCCTCTGGGTGTGAAGGCAAGTGAGCTTCTACCAACCAGCTTTGACGGATACCACCTTCACCTGGAGCTCTTAAGAAACCAAATCACCCTCTTCAAGGCCGTTAAGATCAGCTCTATCTCTTCTCTTTAACTCTGTCCTGGTACTTAATCCACCCTCCCAAAGTATACCGAGTTATATTAAGCCGACAGCAAGCCGATCGGCACAATGAACTCGAACGGCAGCAAGATCACCAGACCGCCACCTTTCGATCGCAGTGCCTACGCTCGCAGTGCCTCTGTACAGGCAATTACTAGAGATATGCGCAACCAGAGACAGAGATTCGATTCTTTCACCTACCCTGCCAACTTTGACGAAGTCCCTGATTCGATGATTGTGTGCTGAAATCGAACTGTCTAATGCTGGTTTAGACTTCATCGCAAATGTAGCCGATTATATGATTGACAAGATCGTCACATCACTGACGGACGCATCATTCGAAATAGACCCCACCGATGTTTTAGTACATATGGCAGCCGAAAATTCTAAATTGGTTAAGGTTGGGGATGTCATCCTGGCTTTGGTACGCTCTGGAATCTCGGACGCAGAAGCACGAAGCATCGGCATAGATGACCGGAAGCCGAAAGACATCTTCGACTGTGGCAACATCGAAGAAATTGCAGGGAGCTTACAGGGTCACACCATATTACCGATGAATGAGTATTTGGGTTCCTCCATCATTCAGCCAGATTCGTGCGTTGAAGGTATTTCGGTCGTAGCTTGGGAGCGATTGAACAAGGGCAAGGAGTTCTACAAGAAAGTAGGCGAGACAGACCCTTCGATACCGAAGCGATCCGCTGCCGACCTTCATTCCGACTCTGATAGTGGTTCATCTCTACGCTTCGTCGGCAAGAGAGCAAAGTGCAGCCCATACCAGCAGAAAGGCGACACTGCTGCCGAGGAGGAAGCTGGAAAGTCTAGTGAAGCCGAACTCGAAAGCATGGTGGAGACTTCATCCATCGGCCAGGTTGAGAATGAAGATGAGCATAACGGAGCACTCGACGGAGCAGAAGCGGACGAAAGCTCTTCTGCCATTACAGCACTGTTCCCGATTTTCGATCCCAAAGACTTCTCGCTCTACGAAGACCCCGAAATCGATTTTTGAAGGGCCTACCACTTTTCAGAGTGACAAGCTTTGATCTCATCCGCAAGCCGAGCAGTGCTAAGATTGGATTGATGCTACACGGTACTGCTGACTTCACAATCGGTGTTCTTTCGGCATCTCACGATACGGTCTGCGGTATCTATCGAGGCTTTTTCAATTTTTTTCCCTTGTCATTCGGCTCAGGTATGGGCAGCTTTCTTTGCCTATCCCTACGTAGTCGAATACTCGGCTGACGATTCCCTTCTACTTTCGGCTTCCCCTCAGACATTGGACACCAATTGAGGCTCCGTCGAGATTTCTCCCGGTGCCCGTGTGAGGCATGCATCCTTACCATTCGGCATCTCACGGTACATTTCGGTATAGCGGTTGGTTGCATTAGTTGGATGTGCCGAACTTCCTTTCTACAGAACAGATAGTCAACAAGAAAATGCATGCGTTATGATTGCCCCACAGAACTTTTGACTCGTGAGACACCTACTCTGGGAGTGCTGTGACGTTGACGTTGCACTCGAGAAAGTTATTCACAGGATCTCAGGAGCACTTCAGGCCTTAACAAGACATTAGCAGGCATTGTTCGGACCCTAGACCACTTCAGCTTTACAGTTGAAAGGGTGACTTTCCTACCTCGTATCAGTCTAGCAGAAGTCCTTCAGGAGTAAATGAGGGGCCCAAAATGGGCAAATGTTGCGCAGTGAAGTGCTTCCGAGGGAGTAATAGGTGGAAAATATGTTCCCAAGGTATACCCCTTGCTATCTGGGTGTTTGAAATTATGGCCTATAAAGACTCGGCGCCTGCGGGGCCGGTGTAAACTTGTCTCGCTGATTCTGGGCGAGTATTACCGGTCCTAGCCGCCCACGATTCACTGTGAATACTCGATCTCGACTAGAGAAAGAGTCGTTGTAGAAGCAGCAGCGCATTGCATAGAGTGCTCTCGAACTACCTGCGAAGTAGATCTGTCGCCTTGACTGAATCAAGGCGGCTCATCTTTAATCTCTGCATCGTGACATAGGAGCACTTCAGCACCTGATATCATCGTAATGCCAGTCGTTCACCACATATTAAAGCACCTCAGCCACAGCAATACAAGTTAAATCGGAGATCATATATCCGCTAGAATACGTCAGAGTTTCAGTTCAAACACCACAAGCAAACGACCTACTTTTCTTCGCATGACGCCCGATTGTAGAAGTAGGCTGACAAGTTCTTACTTCGGTAACGGAGACTATTGACTACGTCACCCCAAATCACACTGATAGTTGTACTGTACTACGTCCTGTCCGGGCTAGCTCAGTCGTGTATATTGAACGAGTGAAGATTGATATCGATCAAGTAATAGCAGCGGGCGCGATAGGGCCGTGCGTGGAGGTAAAGGTAGCTTTCCTGACTATAGCGGGGTCCTATATAAAGCTCCCCCTCCCTCCCCTTTCCTAAACCCTTTCCTTCCTTATTCCCAATACTCAACCTATCGCTGGCGCACAAGTGCTCCCGCCAGACGCGCTCTTGAAATAGCTTTGCCGAAGGATTCGGCTAAAGCACGCATATACGTTCATAAAAGGGTATTACACCGAGAAACCTTTTTTTCGTGGCGAATGTGTCAACCTGAGAGCTTATATACTAACTAGTGAAGGAGCAGAGATCATTCGAGATTACCGAAGCCTTCCGAATAGCTAATCCGGCAACACGACCATGAACGCACTCCGGGAAAGGGTGCAAGCTCGCCAGGATGGCAAGCAACAACAAGCTGCCGATGTTCGCTTCGTCTCCTCCAAACAACATGCCGAACTTCAGCGAGAGAAAGCTGACCTGGAAATGAAGCTCGCCGAACTGGAGCAGCAGCTCAACCTCGAGCGACGAACGGTTGCCGAGAGGGATGGTGAACTGAATGTCGCTATGACTGCTTATGCCGAATTAGAAGCGCAGACCGAAAACCTGTCTAGTGAAGTCGCTAATGGTCGACTCGACTTGGAGCGCAGCGAAACTGAACGAGAGCTTCTCTGGGCACAGGTTAAGGAGACCCAAGCCGAGCTAGAGACAGAACGTCTAGCGGCTGAAACATCAAACTGGAAAGCGGCACGAAAGGTACAAGATCTCAATGCCGAAATTGATCTTTGTTCTGGCACTATTGAGGCGGCAATGACAGCTTCGCTCCATTACAAGAAATCAGTGCCAAAGGACTTCGGGGTGCTGAACGACGAGCCAGGACTGCCGAACGGATTCCTCGAGAAGTTGGATGCGGAAGTCAAGCACAACACTGCCGCTTGGAAATTTGTTCAACAACTCCTCGAAACCGGGCTGTATAGTATGCGTGGCCGTCGAGTCGAACTAGACGACAATGGGCGGACGGAGAATATCTATGGATTTCTCGGCTTGGACGAGACCTTGAACGAACTCGATATCGCGGCCCCTCCTCCTATGCAGCAAATCCTGAAGAAGACACTTTCCGGGTGCTATATGCAGCCCGAAAAGTTTTCCCGACAAATCATTGCTCTCGAGCGTTGCATACGGAACGAAGTCTACGACAGATTGGATGCCGAGGATGCCGAGGAACAGTGTTTCAGGGCTCAGCACGCAGCGCAAGAGCGAAAGAGATCGGCAGAGGAGCACGACTCCCAGCCGAATGCTAAGAAGACGAAGCTTTCTGGCAGCGAGTCCGAGGATGCAAGTATTGAAGACACAGATACCGAAGATGAGGATGAGGTGGAGGAATCGGAGTACGAGCGCATTACCCATCTTCAAGACGATTCATACGAAGCGTTCATTCAAGAAA